TCAGGTTAGCCATGAGGCAAGGAAAAATAAAGAAACTGTAAAACCCCACAACATAACAAAGCTTCCAGCTTGGAAATTTCTCAGGCAGTCTCAACTAACCCCAAAAGGAAGAGTCATGAATGGGGGGAGCACACACCACAGCCAGGCCATGCCCCTAACAGTAGGGTCTCTGGGCCCCCAGCCAGCTGGACAGGGCTCACTGCCCTGGAGTCCAGCAGCCCAGGACCGCCATGGGCTACTTCCTGGAGAGTAAGCCCAGACCTGCCCTTGATTCCCAGGGCACTCCCTCTCTCTGTAACCCTGCTTTTCAAATAAATAAAACAATATGTCTTAAAAGACAAAGACAAGGATTCAAATTCCATCCTGGGGCTGGCACTGTGGTACAGTGTGTTAAACCTCTGCTTGCTTGCAGTGCTGGCATCCCATATGGACGCCTGTTCAAGTCCTGGTTGCTCCATCTCCCATCCAGCTCCCTGCTTGTGGCCTGGGAAAACAGGTGAAGACGGCCCAAAGCTTTGGGACCCTGCACCCACATGGGAGACCTGGAAGAAGCTCCTGGCTCCTGACTTCAGCCAGGCCCATCCCTGGCTATTGCAGTTATTTGGGGAGTGAACCAGTGGACAGTAGCTCTCTCTCCCTCCCTCTCTGTAATTCTTTCAAATCAATAACAAATCTTAAACAGCTCCCCATGCCCGTGCCCCAACTCCTGGCCTTCAGAGCAGGAGCCAACCACACCAGGTCACAGAGCCGGCAGCACTGCCCCCTGCTGCCCAGCGACCCTCACAGCATGACAGCCTCCCAGCACTGCGGGACGGGAAGGTGGGAGAACGGGACATCCACTCAGGAGGAACTTGGTCAGGAGACTCTGACTGCGCACGTGCAGAACACTGGGCCCTGGGAGGAGGCGGGGCTGGGGTGGCTGCTGGGGGTCTTGCCGGCTGCACCATCACCTTCCCTTGGTTCCGCTGTGCCATCCGGGCAGAGCTGGCTAGAGGATGCCGGCTGATCCAGCTCCTGCTGGGACACAGTGAGGAGCCAGCCTTGAATGCTCCCTGGACCAGGGGCAGTGAGGGCAGTGGGGACAGGGCCAGCTGGGCCGTGTCCAGCTAGGGACACAGCCCGTGGCTGGGAGCAGCTAGGAGGGTCCCCCATTCACCCCCGATCATCCTGCACGCTCACAGCCAGCTGGCTCTGTTCACAGAAAAACCATCCCAGTGCCCCAGGCTGCAGCCGCAAGCCCAGCCCAGCATTCCCGCAGTCCCACGCCCTGCCCGGCAGACACAGCACCTTCTGGATGGGAGCCCAGGGGCAGCGTGTGGCCATGCCCTGGGCGCCAGGTTTCTAAGCCAAATGGAAGCAGATCTCTGGCCGGCTGGCTCACGCCCCCTCTGAGAGCGCCTGCCCCTCTGAACAGAACAGATACACACACACACACACCAGCCTTTATCAATCAAGCCAGCAGTTAAATTCCTCCCCCCATTGGAGGAACCAAAGCCACGCATCCTCCTTCCTTCATCCCCTCCACCTGTGCCCACTCCATGGAAAGCCCCTGAGCCAGCTTCTCCCCTCGCTCTGGCGGCTCCCTCCCTGTGCCTGGGCCTCCTGCAGCCCGCAGGCCCAAGCCTGGGGTCCTATTCCCGGGCTGACTGACCGCGATGACCCCTTCCCGCCCACAGCTGGACCGAGTGTCCTTACTCCCCAAACGGGGACACCCCACTCAGCAAGGAGGCCGCAGTGACAGGCCTCAAAGGGGGCTGGCGCTGGGCAGGTGTGTTCCTCGGGGTGCCCACAACGGGGAAACACCCCCCCCCCCGCCGGAGGCCAGCAGTGAAGGCAGGGGAGGGAACATAGGCAGGGCCAAGGAGGTGATCAGCAGTCACCCCCTCTCCTCCCGTACCCCACAGGTGAACCCTGAAGAGCTGGCCTCATCCTGCCTCCCTGGGCCCACAGCGCCACCCTGCAAAGTGGCGGCCTCTGGCTAGGCGGGGCACGGAGGGGTCCAAACATGCTTGCCACAGGAACCCCAGCTCCACAGGCAGCAGGACTGCGACTGAGAGAAGGCCAGGACCACCAGGACCACCAGAACCACCGGCCCCGCGCTCCTGCAGGCAGTGTCCGAGTCAGGGCCGGGGCATGACTGACACCTAGTGGACACAGGCTGAACGCCCTTCAGCACCAAACAGTGACCCTGACCAGGAAGAGGGTGACAGGAACTGGAGAGGGTCTGAGGGAGGAACTCAGGCTGCAGACAGGTGGCCTGGGGGACGGGGCAAGAGGCAGGGCATAGGATGCTGGCAGAGCCATGCCCGCCGCAACAGGAGGCAGTGGGGAGGGCTGTGTGCCTAGGGACCACTTGAGAGGACTGGTAGGCAGCCTGGTCAGGTCATCGCCAGGATGCAGCTGATGGGCTGAGGCCGGGCAGCCAGAGGCCCTGGGGTTGGGGTTTCAAAGGAGTCGAGGGTGGACTCTATCCCTCTGCCCTGGACCCTGGGGAGGTGGCCCCTTCCATGGAGATGGAAGAGGACAGCACAGCAGGAGGGCTTGGTCAGGTTTTATCTTGGGGTCTGGAGGCCCCAGGCCAGGCTGCAGTGCCTGGACCCCAAGTCCCTGCGGCTCTGAGCATCCCAGGCACATGGAGGAGACCCAGCCATGCACAGGTCCCTGCAGCCCCTCGCAGTACGGCCTCCAGGGGTGAGGCGCCACGGCCAGACCCTGCCCCAGTCATCCTGGGCCTCCCGGCCATCACCAACCTCAGCGAGCAGAGCTAAACGAACTCTCTTCCTTGGCCACCCATCTCATGGCACTCGGGCCCCCAGCACGGAGCTGGCTGTGGTACCCTCGCGATGCTGCCAGACTCCTCGGGGCCATTTCCACCACCTCCACGGGCGTGGACCTGCTTTCTCCGGCTCTCCAGCAGCTCACCGGCCTCCCAGTTCTGCTGCTGGGACCCATCCCAGGACCCTGAAGAGCTGTGGGTCCCAGCTCAGATACCAAACACTACTTTCCCACAGCCTGTCGGGCTCGCGCCACTGCCCCTGTCCCTTCCACCTGACTCCGGGCACAGGCCTGCAGCAAGATCTCCTGCAGCTGCCATTTTCCCTGGCTGGTGGCCAAAGGTTTGCCCCTTAGGAGGGGCCTTCCCCGACCACCCCACGGGACTCCCCTTCCTGTCCTGCATCCCCCTCCCACAAAACCTGGCCCATGCTTGGCCCTGCCTAACCTCCCCAATCTGGAGGCCCTGTGAGTTGTTTGCCCTGGCGGGGAGTTCATGTCCTGGAGGGTCAGAGCCTCAGGAATGGGGTGCTGGGGACTCCCCCAGGACCACAGGCTGAGTTCTCTCCTACAAGGCGCTGTGATAAAGCGAGGTCACCCCAGCAACCTGCTCCCCGTCCCCAGCCAGACACCTGTGGCTCTCTGCCCTATGCCAGTCCTGCCTACCCCGTCAGCTCCAGTTCCCAGAGAGATGACAGCAGTGACAGGGGCAACCTGTGTGCTTCCCGACTCCCCCCACCTTGGAGGAACCCCACTCCCACCCAGAACCCAGTGACATGATACACAGTGGGGGGGGGGGGTCACATAATCCCTCCTGCCCTGCCAGCCACCCACAAACAGTCCCAGGCAGGCAGATCAGGAGCTTATGGTGAGAACAGACCCCTCTGAGCAGCACACCGGTCTCCAACTGAATCCTCCCCAGCCAGCTGAGTCCCAGGGCCGGGCAGCCATGGGCACAGGAGAGGCAAGGACCTGCAGCCACACCTGGCCGGCACCCAGCCAGAGCCGGGGCCCGGGCAGCTGTGGGAACCCCCAGCAGCCTCCCCTGGGGAGCAGCCTGCAGCTAGGATGAGGGGAGAGCTCCCCAGCCCAGGAGGGTGCAGCAGAATGGATAGGAAGCCTGTGCCATACCCCGCACTCATTTCCTGAAGCTGTGAACACAAACAGGCTCCCACTGCCTGGCTGCAGACAGATGCCTCGGCTCTCCCTTTCCCCAAAGGCCGGAAGTTGGACATCAACAGCGCTGAGACCGGAAACGGGGGGCCTGCAGGGCCAGCACTCCCTGCAGCCGCTGGAAGAGAGCCTGGCACGCCAGCCAACGGGCGAGCCGGGCACTGGCCAGCTCCTTGTCCCATCTCAGAGGCACAGACTCGCCCCCTCCCCGTCGTGTGAGTCTACCTGGGAATGCCCACCTCTCTGCACCCCTCATTGCCTCGTGCTCCGGTGATGCGTGTGCACCTAGGACAGCGCAGATGTGGGGACGGACGGACAAATAGACGGACTGACGGAAGAGGGGCTGCACACACACCCTTGCTGTGTGGAATCAAGACGGGTTCAGGTGGCCCAGCCTGTTGGCCAAGGCCTCTGGGGAGGAGGGGGGGAAGTGGCCCTGAGGCCCAAGAAGGTCTGTGTTTACACACATCACTGCCCCCACCCCCTCCTGCGCTGGGTGCACCGTGTTCCTCCAGACATTTGGAAGGCAGCCTCTCTCCTGAGACCCACCGCCCTCCCTTCCCCCCCACCTCCCTGTCCTTTCCCGATGGAGAAGACTGAAGCAGACAGAACACCGCCCAGAGCTCCCCTTCAACACCAACACCTGGGAACAGTGCTGTGCTGGCACAGAGACCCTCCCAGGTGTGCACAGGGCGTCCGCAGCTCCACATTAGCAAGTTGGCCCAGCATCCGCCCTCCCCCGCCAACCCCGGGGGAGAACGCCACAGGAGGGGGGGGACACACTGAGAGCCACACGCCCACAGTCCCAGGGAGGGGGCAGGCTGGAGAGCAGAGCCAAGCCCTGGGCTCCCTCCACCACACTGCCCACAGGGTTCCCAGCTAGGGTAGCTGGCTCGTGGCAGCAGGAGGGTCTCCTCCACTGGCCTGGACAACTCCCCTCACCTGTTGGTACGGCTAACACAAGGGCCGACTGTGGCGGGCACAGGGAGAGGAGCAGGGGCCAGCCACCTGTCCAGCCGTGAACATGCCCCCATATGCCAGCGTAGGGCACTCACCACATTCCAGAAGAGTGGGTTGAACGCTATGGTGAGGACGGCGACCACAAAGCTGGGATGGGAGGGGTCCACGTAGCCCAGCAGCTGGTTCATAACGCGGAGATCTGCCTGGAGAGACACGCGTCCCAGTGCGTCAGCAGGAGCCCACCAGGCCCCTCGCCAGCACCCTCCTCCCCAGACCTCAGAGACTGACACGCCACCGCCGGGAGGCTGGGAACACACACGTCCAGCGGAGGTGACTCCCGGGCAGTCGGTGAGCGGGAGGCGAAAAAAGCCTGAAACCCAACCAACTGTGTCCTGTCTCGGGAGCCAGCACCGGCGCTGGATGAGGCAGCTGGCAACTCGGAATGTGGGCGTTAAAGGGAAGTAATACCAAGTCGGGGGGCAGGGGGTGGTGGCCCAGGGGAGGACCGTGACCCGAGCAGGGACCAGAGAAAACCCAGGAAGCCGGACGCTGGAAGGCCAAGGCCAGCCAAGACGATGGCAATGCACCGGTCCTTCCATGGCCGACAGTCGCCCGCCGTGGGGGCACAAGGAGCACGGGACAAGAGGGGCAACTTCCAGAGCAGGGGTGGGGCATGGTGGAGGTGGCATCAGGCACAGCAACGGACCAAGAGACCCGACAGGGAGTTCCAGACACCCGAGCCCACCTCTGGCTGCAGAGAGCATCTGGGGGAGTGAACTGGTGGATCAAAGATCTCTGTGTGTGTGTGTGTCTTTCAAATCAATAAGTTAAAAAAATTTTACAGGAAAAAAAAATGGGGAGAGATGAAGGGGAAAGCAAAGAAATAACCTGGGCCCCCTCAACAGAAGCAGCAGCTCTCAGCTTCCCCCAGTGCCAGGCGGGCACAGGGCCATGGTTCTTGGAAAATGGCACCCAGGAGGCAGCACGGAGCAGCCTCCCATGTGGGCTCCCAACAGGCTAGGCTGGGCTGGGCTGGCCCCCCAGCTCTTCCTCCCTGGAGGCTGGTAGCTGCCCAGAGCAGCAGGACCTCCCACCCCCCTACCCCCTGCCGGCCTCCCACCACCCAGCGCCCCGCCTGGTTCCGAAGCTCAGGACCAGTGTGGAGCACACAGGATGCTCGGCTAAAAAAAAAAAAAAAGAAGTTGCAGATACTTTAAAGAATGCACATTTGCTGGGTGCTCAACTCTCCCAAAGTGTCATTTATAAAAGAGAAATTGTTTTGATCTATGTGAAAGTAACAGTAACATAGAGAGATCTTCCATCAGTGGTTCATTCCCCAAGTGTCTGCGACACCTGTGTGGTCCTGTGGTCGGCCGGGCTGCAGCCAGAGGGCAGGGGACGCCCTCGGGCTCTTCCACATGGCCAGGAGGGGCTCAGGGACCTGCTTTCCTGGTGCCTCAGCTGGGAGCTAGGTGCAAAGCGGTGTGGCTGGGCACCATGACAGGGATAACAGCCCCAAACTGCCCACTGCGTGTCAGGCCCAGCCCAGCCCCACTGTGTGTCAGGCCCAACTGCACTGCCCACTGCGTGTCAGGCCCAACCCAGCCCCACAATGCTTTGCTTCAGAGACCCTCTGGTACCAACTTCTGGGGGCGGGATGAGATGGACATGCCCCTGGGAGCTCGCCCTTGATCTGCCACTGCCCCTCCCCAGCCTGGGGGCATGGTGGGGTGGGGCCGGTTGCCTCCAATTCCTCTGCAAAGCTCTGTCTCCCATCAAGATCTTGTTGCTTAGTGGGTCTAAGGAACATTCTGAAAAGTCACTAGCACGTAACATTTCAGAATCCTAGTATCCTCTCCGGCAGGAGGGGCAGGGAGGCTGTGCACACCCCAGGGCAGCCCAGGGTGTGGGGCTTTGGAGCAGCGACACTGACCCTTGGCCTCAGGGACGCTGTCCTCCCACTCGGGCACAAAGGGGGGCAAGGGTAGACCCAAGAAGGCCCGGGCCCTGGCTGCTCAGTGCATGGAAGGTGAATGGCTGCAGCTCTGGAGCCAGCCCAAGTCCCCACTTGCCCCTAGCCCTTCTTTCTGCTGCCCATTTCCATCCCTGGCCTGGTTTGAGCCCCTCCCCGGCCTCACCCTCCCACACCATGGCACTGTCATCCCATCTCGCACACAACCACGGCCACCAGCACCCCTCCCTGGTCCTGTGGTGGCGCCTGCTTCATGAGGTTTCTGCGCGTGTTGGAAATGCTCCCAGGCAGGGACTCCCACCATCCCTCAAGACCCCTTCTTCCCTCCCACCCCCTCGATCATATTAGTTCTTTTCCCTTTTCTTTCTTTTTAAGATTTTTACCAGAAAGGCAGATCCAATTTTACAGAGAGAAGAAACAGAGAGAAAGGTCTTCCGTCCTCTGGATCACTCGCCAAGTGGCTGCAATGATCGGAGCTGACCAAATCCTAAACCAGGAGCCAGGAGCCTCTTCCAGGTCTCCCACGCTGGTGCAATGTCCCAAGGCTTTGGGCCGTCCTCGACTACCTCCCAGGCTACAAACAGGGAGCCAGATGGGAAGTGGAGCGGCCAGGACGTGAACAGGCACCCGTAGGGGATCCTGGTGTGTGTAAGGCGAGGATCTGATCACTAGGCCATCGTGCCAGGCCCAATAGCTCCTTTTCTTGTGAAGTTTATGTCTCCACCACATGGTACAAGGTCGATGCCTCTTCTGTTGATGAAAGCATTAGGCTTCCCCCAGCTCGGCACCCTCAACTCTCCTCCGGCGAAGAAGAGAGGGAGAAGGCGGGCAGATCCCTGGGGACAGGGACGTGTGGGATCCGGCCTCTTCGCAGCCACAGGAGCTGGGTTCCCTATGGGTGCCTCACTGGTACCTGGCAGTGTGGCACAGCCTGGGCTGAGACCCAGGCCAGGTTTGGAGCCAGCACTGGACAGTGTTAGGGTCAAGGAGAAGGCGGAGCCTCCCACGGTTCCCGCCACCCCTTCTCAGCCCCCAGCAGGCTGTCTCTGCAAGGCGCACCGTCAGACTGAGGTCCCGGTGTGTGCGGCTGGACAACGAGTGGCACGTAGGTGGGGCATCCAGATGCAGGACCCTAGCAGGGCCAGAATGGTCCTGGGGCCTGGCCTTTCCCCTGCAGCCAGCATCCCACCCTGGAGCTCTGGTTCGAGTCCTGGTTACCCCAAGACCCATTCAGCTCCCTGCTAATAATAATGCACTTGGCAGGCAAAGGGAGAAGTACCAAGGGCTGCGGCCCCTGCACCCACCTGGGAGACCCCGACGGAGCTTCTGGCTCCTGGCTTCAGCCTGGCAATGTGGGCATCTAGGGAATGAGACAATAGATGGCGCTCTCTCTCTCTCTCTCTCTCTCTCTCTGGATAATGAGAATCCCCGAAGGGCATCTGCCGCAGTACCAACTGACCAGGGTTTTGTCTGCTCTGAGGGAGGACCCCACTCTGCAGCAGTCACCAAGCCCCCAGGGGACTCTGCAGCAGGCCTGTGAGGGGCTGTCTTGCCCCCACTGCCACAGACTGGGGCTCCTGAAGATCTAAATGGCCGTGGGCTTCAAGCTGCTCCTCCTCCTCCCCTGCCCCGGGACTTTGGGGTCCCCTCCTATGGTCCCTCCTGCCTTTTATGAGAGCCACGGTAGGTGGCAGAGACAGACGCACTTGGAAGATGATCCCATGAACTCTGGGTGACCATGGCGGCGACTGACCACCACCTGGGTTCCAAGTCAGGGCTCAACTGGTCAAAACCAGACCCTGGCCCCAGGCCCCTCCTCCACAGGGGTCCCAGTGCCCAGGGTCAACTCCTCAGACAGGCAGGAGGGAAGACAAATCCAAGGCATGAGGGGCGGATGTGGGTTGCCTGGAGATGACCCTTCTGCTAGCAAGGGGCCGGGGAGGGCTTATGCTGGTTCCCAGCAAGCAGTTCTAACAAGACTCACAGGCGGGGGGCAGTAGGGCAAGCCCAGCTCACAGGGGGTGAACTCCACTGCAGGGACCCTGGGGGCCGCCCAGGAAGATACTTCCCTGAGGGACCAGGCATTGGAGGGTCACACTGTGACACCCAGGCAAACAGCAGGGTCCACAGAAGTCCGTCACACTGACTCAGGGCACCAGGACAGGGAGGGGGTCGCCAGTCAACGGCCTGCGTTGGAGCCGGTGCCCGGAGCAGGTGCGTGTAGGACCCTCTCCTCTCACACTGCCCGCATGGGACCCTGCTGTCTACATGCGGGGCCATGGGGCTCTGAGGAAGGACTCGGCTGTGCAAGCAGCTGTGTGGGCTGGAGCACTTCTCGGGGTCTCCTTCTAGTTCAGGAGGCAGAGGTGGGTGGAGAGGCATGGGCTGCTCCCCTGACCTGCCACGCAGACCCCTCACCTCTCTGCTTTCCAGAGGTGCCTCTGGGAAGACTGGCACCCCGAGGGGAAGGGCCATAGGGAGGACACTGAGTTACACTCTTGACCCCCAAGTCACTGGTCACCGGGATGGAATGGAGGGCCGGAGAGCCCTGGGTGGGAAGGAGGGGCACCAGGGTGGGCGTCACAATGCAACAACGACCCCTGTGGCCACCAATCAGCTGTGGGGACGGTCTCTCCAGGCGCCAACATGAACTGACCCCAATTCCCAGAAGGGGAAGCTGGGTGCTCAGCACCCCCTACTTGCTGGTCCCTCACCTAGGGTCAGGGGCCCCACAGCCCTTCCAGGGGTTGAACCTCCGGATCCCTCAAGGAAAGGAACCTGAACCTCTGCAGCTGGGAGCGGGGTGGTCTCGCTTTTCTCAGCGACTCCAAGAAGGGGCTTGGCAGCCCTCTGAGGCCAAGGAGGCTCCGGGGTCAGTGTCTCCACACATCTGACAGGTTGAAGCTGCTGGGAGCTACCAGCCACCCTCACAGGGAGTTAACTGGTGCCAAGGCCTTGAAGGGGACAGGACAAGGACAGACGCAAGGCTGTCCTGGTGCTCAGGCCATCCCGGGCAAGCCTTGGCGTCTCCATCTGCAGGATGGGTACAGCAGCAACACCTGTGTCAGTGCCATGAGGCAGATCCCCGCAGGATGGCACGTGGGCTGGGCTCTGGCAAGCAGCCAGGCTGGAGGAGGGGAAGGAGGCTACAGCACCCCCCTGGGGGGACGCAGGACTGGAAGAGCCGACAGGCGAGACCAAGTCCAGGGAGGAACCTGGTGCTCCTGTGCC